CACCCCCCACCGCGCACGCCTGGCCCCGCCATCTCAACGCCACGTGCTAGGAAGGCAGACTAAATCAGCCTTTGTGATGGATTATAAAACAGCAATGGAAAACTGTTCGATAAATTCTTGCAATTACGGCCCCGCCTCTAGGCGCCACAATTTACTCTTAAGAGGAAGAAATGCTCTTCCATTGGTACAGACTCTCCCGGTTTACTAGCAAAACAAAATAGATGTTTCCAGTAGGTAGAACCTAGAGTCAAAAGGTCAATTTACAGAAGTAGAGATTTTAACTAGGGAAGACAAACACACTAAGTAGGGGGTTCTGCATGATAATTGGTGACACCTTTTGATGAGAAAACACTTAAGGTCTCCTGGGCCCGCACCCCCCCCCCCAATAGAGTTCTGTATGGGTGCCGCACCTTGCCTCTCAAGATCCAGCGCTTCACACTCTGCAGGGTGGGTAATTGATACTCGGACTGTAACGCTGAAGAACGGCTATTTTGTGGCTGATAACATCGCCAAGCATCTGCAGCTAGAGCCCAGGAGCTAGTGAGACGCAGTCCTCTTTATGTCCAAATGTATGACACACGTTTTACAATTTGCTTGGGAAAAATATTTTTATATTGCCAAGAACCTTGATTGAAAAGCGCTGTGTGACGCCAGCACTTTGTTTACTAAGTTTCAGATTCTCATTGACGGGTCACACCCCTTTGTCTGCAGCAGCCACAGCAGAATTTTCAGGATATAAATGACAGCTGGACAAACTTAGCATGTTTAGATGTAAGTGAGAATGCTGCTGTCAAGATGTTATAGGGCACCTCAATTCAGAGAGAGGCACCCCCGAGGCCCCAAAACCTGCCTGCTCTAAGTGGGTTCTGCCATCCGCTGCAACAAGACAAAACATATAAAGCTTTAATGAAAAGTGACTTTAATACAATGAATATACAATATGGAATACAAAGAATGTAACTTCTAAATCAAACACCTGAAGTTACCCATCCCCTCATGGGCAAAAGTCAACCCAAAAGGGATTGGCCCAAAGCAAGGCCTGAAAGCCTGCCACAAGACTAAAGCACCTTCTGGCCGGGACCCATGGAAAAGGGTCAGAAATGGCCAGACAAATCTGAGAGGAAAAGAGCAAAATCAAAATCAATATAAACACTGCCATAGTCACCTCCCTACAGGTATCTCACCCACATCTGCCTTAACCAGTCCAGGGTCAGGAAACAAGCCCGGTTTCTTCATCACATGTTTGCTGCTCCATGTGTCTTCCTTAGGTCTCCTTCTCCATCTGTCTTCCTTCTCTCTTCTCTCTCCTTTTTCTCTGCTCAGTTCCACCCTCCTTCTGGGTGGGGCAGGGAACCTGGAACTTCCCTTCTCCTAAGGACCACCCAGTTACAAAGACACATTTTTCCCTTCTAAGGCACATAATTCCAACACTGGGCCAATTCTCTTAAAGGTTTATATCCTAAAATTTAGTTGGTACTTCACTTCTGAGGTAAAGACAGAACAGGAAAAGGGATATAAAGTGTGCAGATATAATTCTTTCATTTGGAAAGCTTCCTTGTCTGAGTATTTGACAATTAGTTTTTTTAAAGTGAGGCACTGTAAACCAGATGGTGCACAGGAGAAGTTTGTCAACAAGTAGACTTTACTGTAGTGGTGACCTGGCCTTTTCAGTATTTGGATTTCTTTTCTCCAGAATCACATGGTTTCTTCAGAGAATAATCTTCCAGTCTTACCTGAGGTAGGAGGTTTTGTAGTCCTCAGGAAAAGGGGAAGTTCCAGGTTCCCTGCCCCACCCAGAAGGAGGGTGGAGCTGAGATGAGAAAAAGAAAAGGAATCTGAAGAAAGAAAGAAGCAGGATGGAGAGCCAGGAGATCTGAGGAAGCCGCATGGAGCAGGAAGCATGTGATGGAGAAACCGTGTTTGTTTCTTGGCCCTGGGCTGGTTGAAACAGATGTGGGTGAGAGACCCGTGGGGAGGTTGACTATGGCAGTGTTTATATTGATTTTGATTTTGCTCTTTTCCTCCCAGACTTGTTTGGCCATTTCTGACCCTTTTCTATGGGCCCCGGCCAGAGGTGCTTTAGTCTTGTGTTGGGCTTTCAGGCCTTGCTTTGGGCCAATCCCTTTTGGGTTGACTTTTGCCTGCAAGAGGATGGGTAACTCCAGGTGTTTGATACAGAAATTATATTCTTTGTCTTTTGTATTGTATACTCACTGTATTAAAGTTCCTTTTCATTAAAGTCTTATTTGTTTTGTCTTGATGCAGCGGATGGCAGAACCTATTTAGAGCAGGCAGCTTTGGGGGTTCGGTGGTGCCCTCCCCCTTCCTGTAACAGATTGTGTGGGGAGGAAGGAGAATACATAATATTGATAATAAGAGCAAAGAGTAGGGAGAGAAAAGACACGTCTGCAGTAAAGCATATGACTTTCACATAATTTCCTATGTAAAAAAAAAATTTATTTGTGCATACAGAACTGGGGGATAGGCCAGGGGTGCAGGGGGTGAGAGGATTCA